CAAATCGTCATGTTTCTTGCATTCTTCAACAGTGACAAATCTGCGATTGCAATGCTGACAGGCATATTGCATCTCATTCATATGTATTTTCTTGTGATACTGCAGCTGCTCCATCAACCTGAACTTAATCTGGCATACTGAGCACGAGAATGGCATCTTGTCTAAATGTATGGTTTTATGCTTCAGCAAATTCGATTTCTTGCAGTTATCATATCGGCGATTGCGATGGAAATGCTGAATGTGCAACACTAGCATTTGATGCAGGAGAAATGTACGACCGCACTGATTGCATTCATGAATTTTTTTTCCCGACTCAAGTTTGAACTTGTCTTTAGTATTCATTTTTTGTTCATTCTCGTTGTCTGCATCCTGATCCTCTTCATAAAAATGGTGCTCGCTAATTTTGTCTTTCTCTTCTTCGTTTTGTCGTTTCTTTTCCATCTCATTTTCTCTGATTTTATACTCCTTTCTATTGTTGTCGTTAACATGTTGCTTCTTTAAAATATTGTTCTGTAATTTAAATTCGACGAATCCTTTTTTGCCAATTTTCACTGGCGTTGGATTGTTGGATTTGTCCAGGAAGTTTTCTGTTAATTCTCCAGACATAGAAGATTCTGTGTCTACGAATTAATAATAGCATAAAGTTATAAAAAATTAGATATGATGAATAAAATTAACGTTATCTCTAATAACATTATTAATAGAGACGTTAACTACTCTACCTGTTAAAATATCGATCGAAAACGATAATAAATGGTTAATCGTTTTTATGAATCGTAGTTATGAATTATAAAGAACAAAAGAATATTATAATTCTACAATTAATTCTTTATCGTTTTTTTTTCATATACGATAAATAACAATAAATTTTCCGTAATAATATGATGGGATTTACTTTTGTTGCGACTTTATTAATAATGATTATGAAAATTTTGTTATAATTTTTGTTATAACTTTGTAATTTTACGATAAGATATTTTGAATCATCGTTGATGCATGATTATGGATTTTCATGATGAATCATAGATTTTTTAAACTTGTACGATAATTTGATAACAAACTTTCATATTCCTTTAGTTGAGTTGATTACGATAAAGTTTTCACAATGATAATTCCATAATAATAATTCACGATCATTTTAAAATATTAAAAAATAATAAGTTATTACAAAATTTCTTTACCGAATTCCAAGGATTGAATCCTCGTTCAGAAAACGCTAGGAAACGATAACATTTCTTTCAGAATATAAAAAGTGAAACAATGGATTACGATAGGAAACGATAAGATTTTTGACAGATTGTATTGTTTATTATCGTTTTTTATCAATTTTTTTAAATAGGACAATGTGGTAACAATGAGGCGCATATAAGTTCGTAACTTGTTTGCGTACATTTCATCCTTAACATTTGATGAACAATAGAGATGAAATGATGCTCATGAGTGTTACGAACAAATGGGACAATTTATAAGATTTGTTCGCATCCAGATTTGTGTGCTCCAACATGTTCCAATATACTGCTATAGTTCTTACTCATTCCAATGAGTGCGTTAATCAAGAATTTTCAAAAACTTTCAGCTCTGATTGGCTAACTTAAAGTGTTTTACGATTACTATTATGATGTGTACAGATTATTGATCAATTTCTTATGATTCAAGACTAAATTTAGATAATAGCTTATTGTAAAAAGCCTGTAAGATATTTTTAAGATGTTCTATTTAGAATATGCATGTTATCATATTTTTATCCTCAATACAATTAAAATGATTGATAATATCATTGTTCTTCACTGCCAGATCCAGACTCACTTGGCTTGCATTCTGATCTATTCACTGTTAGTTCTATAGAAAATCTATAGGCTATCATGTACCAAATCATAAGATAATATCCATAATTTTGTGATTCTCTTCCATGTTATTACAGAGTTAGACAAAGGCGAATAATCAAAGTTTGACTGTTCATCCTTAAAGACCAATTAGACTTTTCCAGGTCAGACTCTAATTAGCTATCACATCGTTTCTTGCTGTAATGCGTTAACATATCCTATGTGCAACAGGCCTTAATATCAGTTTTGACTGAATGAACCTACTGTTCTTATCTATACTATGCTAGTGTATAATGGTTTCAGTGAAAAGCACACTGTATTCAATATTCAATATAATTAGTCCTATACCTTTATGCCAGTATTCATAGTCGATTCTTATACTTAAGACTATCTTAAATACAGTTTTAAGATGTTATAAGCCAATCAGAGAGTGGTATTAGCATCTTAAAGGCCTCTTTCATCAACTTCTGATTAAATTAATTGATGATCAACTCACAGAAATGTCACAGCAGTTTATTGTATCAGAATATATTCTCTTTCTTCCTCTTTCGAGACTTTGTTCAGTTCTCATACTAGCAATCGTGATGATTGAATTAATCATCAATTAATTTAACCAGAAATTAATCAGAAAAGAAGTTCTAAAACATTAAAATAGTCTTAAAATAAGAACAAATTATGAATATCACTCTTAAAAAAATAAAATGAAGAACTAAAGGCAAAAAACCAATCATATTAAAGAATCATTAAGTGCTCACTGATCAATTTTCTTTGCTGAACATAACTACTTTTACAGAAGTTAATATGATTATCACATGTCATAATTTGCTTACTCAAATTTAATAAGTGTCTTGAAGTCGAAGCTTCCATCTGCTCTTCAAATAGTGTTGTATTCATCACTTCTAACTCCTCTTTAGGCAGTATTGTATTCATTGCAGTATCTGGTACTATTGCATTTAAGATAATAAACAAAATATTAATATATTGTATAATGCAACGGAGTAGTCAAATAAAAAATATAATATAATACACTTTCTTAATTACCAAAAAAGCTTATACTTGCATACCTTGGCCATTTGATCCTAAGTTCAATGTGGGTACTGCATCAGATCTTAATCTTCTTTTTTTTGGTTGATTGTGTAAATCATATACTTTGTATGCTGCTGAATCAAAATGGATGGAACAGACGCGTCCTACATATATAGAATATATTATTTTTATTGTATGACTCTATGGCTGTATTCAGCAGAAAAAGCAACTTTGCAGCTATTATAAAATTCTTGAATATGACTGGTTTATACATTTAAATCCAGTGAGAAATTTAAGAGCAAGATGAATCATATTAAAAGAATACAATCTCAATGTAGCCTATGATGTACATAAACAAAGATATATTAATTTCATATATACCATTTTTAATATTGATATTTTTTCTCCCACAAGCTTTCTCCCACTGTAATAATAACGCATTTTTTCTTGGAAAGCGATGAAAATGTATAGTTCTGGATTCTTTTGTTCGATAATTATTTCTACATGATATTATTTGACAAGTACTCATTTTGGTTTCGACATGTTACTTCAAAATTATCGCGGTGCAAATGTTAATCTCGAGTAAAATTTTCTTCGACAGGATTTAAATCGCACAAGTTAACTCTCTACATAGATCGGAATCGGCAGAAATGGAATTTTAAATTTTGGCAGTTATCAACTCAGATAAGATATTTGCTTTGCAAGAGAATGGCTCCGACGATCCGAGATTCGACCATAGTTGAAGAAGACATTGGCTGCGTTCAGCAGACAACAGTTATAGGGGCTCCGCACAATAAAAGGAACAGGGAACAGAGAATAAGAATTTCAACCTATCAGAAATCATGCTTTGTGGAATACATAATTTTCTCTGCTGAGATAGGACCATTCCTCTTGACCATCTAAAAGCATAACCCAATCAACGTGAAGAAAACCTCCAACAGTTGCAAAATAAACATTCTACTGAACGCAGCCATTAAGACAAGAGTTGCGCTCATCACTCACGCGTTTTAAGTACTTGTAAAGGGCGCACAATAAAAGGAACAGAGAACAAGAATTTCAACCTATCAGAAATCATGTATTGTGGAATACATAGTTTCTGATAGATTGAAATTCTTATTCTCTATTCTCTGTTCTCTGTTCCTTTTATTGTGCAGAGCTAATTATCCATGAAAGATAATAGAGATTTGTTCGCGTTGCATGCTTCAACATGCTCTAATATGCTCCTGTTATAGCTTTTACTCACTTCAACAAGCGCGTTAAAGTGAGTAAATGCTATAGTAGGAGCATTTTAAAGCATGTCAAAGCATACGATGCAAACAAATGGCTCCTACACACTGGACGCGGAACGCTTGTCATGCGGCAATGATGCAATAGCCAATAAGCTTACAATGTGTTCTTCTAATGTGTTCATTGGTTGCCGCGTCTCATTTTGCCGTGCTGCAAGCGTTTCCGCGTCCAGTGTGCAGGAGCCATAAGATATGTTATTCTTTGACATCCTGTTTTGATAATAAAGCGAAAACACAGACTCTTGCATAATGCATAATACAATATATGAGGCATAAGAAAATGAATCAAAACTTCTTTATTATCTTTCTCTCCACGAAATAAAGGATTCTGATTGGTTGATTTTCTCATGCCTCATTTTGTGTTATGCAAGAATTTGTGCTCTCCACTTTAACAGGAAGACGTAAATTCACATAAATTGGTCTAGTTTCCACCAAGGGTTTAAACTGAATCAGAATGTAAGAACCAAGCAACTACAGTCGAGTATACTCCTGTTACAGTCGAATGACAGGGAAATGCTCGATTGTGGTTCTTACTTTCTGATCCGGATTAAACTCTCGATGGAAACTAGGCCAACAGTGCCAGATCGCAACCAATACGGTGGCAAGATTCTCATAGATCTATAAATAAGAACCAATCGCTCGGTGAGCGATTTGCAACCGTTTCATTATTGACGAAATTCCCCAAATTTAGGGGAAAATCTCCCATACTTGGCAACTCTTCATAGTAATAGCGTATTCAATTTGAAAGTACTCGAAAAATCGTAACGAACTTTTACACGGGTGTCTTAATTTAGCACGATTTATTAAAGAGTGAGGAATCGTTAGAATTACTTAACAAACATTAAAAATTAAACTGACTTATATAATGAAGCCCGCGTAAGTATTGTAAAATTAATATAATTTTGTGTTCAAGCTCAATAAGTGTTGACCCTTAAATGTTTAAATATACGCTTGTGAATTTTAAGAGAGTAATGCCCAATTTCTTCATCTCTAGATAACTTTATCCAAGAGATATCTCTCAGAATACAATGGAAATATTTTCTGGATAATGTTATCCGCAACTTATCTAGAAGTAAAGAAATTGGGCACAAGATGAAAGTAAACATCCTTCACACAAATGTTTCAGACGTTCGAAAACTCCAGCTCGTAAGCCAATCAGTCGGCCAAAGGGATCGAATATGATGTCTAAAGATCCCGTGCAGGTTTATTGTCGTTTACGTCCAATGCAATCTTTAACGGATGTATCATGTATGACAGTTGAATCTGACAAGATTGTAGTGATTATGCCTCCAGGATCAACAGTCAACTTTCGTACTAATAAGGAGATAAAAACGACATTCAGTCATGTATTTAAGTCTGATGTGACACAAAGAGAAATATTTGAAACTGTTGCCCTTCCTCTAGTTGAAAACCTTATTAATGGAAGAAATGGTCTGTTATTTACATATGGTGTAACAGGTAGTGGAAAAACATATACGATGACTGGAGAACCACAAGATGCTGGTATCATGCCTCGATGTTTGGATGTTATTTTTAATACTATTGCCAATTATCAAACGAAAAAGTTTGTCTTTAAACCAGATAAACTAAATGGTTTTGATATACAAAGTCAGACTGATGCTATGCTGGAAAGACAGTTTCAGGCAGGTCTATTGCAAAGAGCAAGATTCGACAAACAGTAAGTCTCCATTTGATAGAAAAATTATAAAGATAGATAAATATCTATTTATGTAGTTAGATTACATATGCAGATAATATTAAATGTTATCTCATATGAAATAATATTCAATATAGCCATAAGGTAGATAGCGATGGAGATAGTAAACCAGTGGTAGCTCACAAACGTAATGAATCTCAAAGTGTATCAGTCGAGGCAGATAATGCATATGCTGTATTTGTCACATATGTTGAAATATACAACAACAGCGTATATGATTTGTTAGATGAAGATTATGCTAGAACCAAGTAAGTATATGTGTATATTATATATTTATATATGTACACATATATTATAAGAGGAAATATTTGCAGTTTTATTATATACATAGAAAATATTTATTTTATACGTATTTATTTTATTATTTAATGTAGGACATTGCAGAGTAAAATAGTAAGGGAAGATGGCAACAAAAATATGTATGTACACGCCGTTACAGAAATTGAAGTAAAAAGTGCAGAAGAAGCTTTTGAGCTATTTCAACGTGGACAATGGAAAAGACATGTTGAATACACAGCATTGAATGCAGAATCGAGTAGATCACACAGCGTTTTCACTATCAGACTTGTACAGGTACAACATCCTTTTGAACAACTTCTTTTTCTCCTCAATCTTGTCAGAGACTTATGTCTGTATTCATAGTCAGATCTTGTACTTAAAGCTTCCTTAAATTTATCTTTAGATGCTTAGCAATCAATGAAATATATATCATAGAGTATCTAAAGATAAATTTAAGGAAGCTTTAAATATAAGGCCTGACTATGAATACGAGTATAAGTGACTTCTTCTGCATATATCCTCTGATATATATATATATATATAAGATATATAAGATATCAATGTAGATTAATTTTTCGTTTTTATCTTTTTCTACTTCTAAAAATTAGGAAAGAGTAAGTTAAAACAAGATTAAAATTAATCAACATTGGAAATGGATATTATAGTTTTTTATGTTAGACTTAACGATCATATCACAAGAGGTTGTCATGGTCTTTTGCCATTGTCTTCTGAAAGACAATGACAAAATTTGATATGTATGTTTTGGGTGGATTTAAACTCGAATCTTTGGCATAGAGAGCAGCTACATAACTCTTTACGATTGCCACTTTCAAAATTTAAACCTAATGTAAGAAAATAGTAATGATTGAAATAACACAATTTCAACCTATCAATAATTAAATATACATTTCTGAATATATTTCTGATAAATTCAGATCGTAATATTTCTATCGCTTTCGCATTGTGTCTGAAACTTCAGACTTCAGAAATATCTTAAAATACAATCACTTGCATTTTAATCGCTTATTATCTTTCTGCTTATTGTAGGCACCTTTGGATAGTGAAGGTGAACAGGTAATGCAGGCTAAACAAGTCGTGTGCGTAAGTCAATTATCTTTAGTGGATTTAGCAGGTAGCGAGCGAACGAATCGCACTAAAAATACCGGTCAACGTTTACGAGAAGCAGGTAGGATATTTCATTTGCTGCATTTATGAAATTTATGAAAGTTTTTAAATAACAAGTATTCAATTTTATAGGAAACATTAATAACTCTCTAATGACTCTACGATCATGTTTGGAAATTTTGAGAGAGAATCAGAATCAGGGTACAAATAAAATAGTTCCTTATCGGGATTCTAAACTTACACATTTATTCAAAAACTATTTTGATGGGGAAGGACAAGTCAGAATGATAGTCTGTGTAAATCCAAGAGCAGATGATTATGACGAAACTATTGTATGTGATAGTGAAATGTATTAAATATATATCTGAAAAGCAATACAAACATTAATTTTTTCAATTTTTAATACGTAGCAAGTAATGAAATTCGCGGAAATGACTCAAGAAGTGCATATCACAAGGCCTACTACTGTAAAATTGGATCTTGGTTTCACTCCTGGCAGAAGACAAGCGAATAAGGTAACAATTTTAACTTATATAATATTTTCTAATTTCAGAATATGCACATTTACACATGTTAATATAAATTTTATTTTGTTTAGATATTCAAGGAAGCAAGAAGCAAATTAGAGAAAGAAGGCCGACCAGAAGCAGCTGATTTGAACATTGATCTAGGTCTAGTATACAGGTATTGCAACAATTGACTGAACAGTTGTAATTCAAATTCTTTTCCCCTCTCTTTTCGCTTATTTTCTTCATAAATTATCGCATAATATAATCGAATGTTTAAATATTATTTTAGTTTGGGAGGATCATTTCCTCAATTGGAAACCATTACTTCGGACAATGATCAAATGATACAATCTTTAATACAATATTTGGAACAGCGTATCAACAAGCGCAATATACTTCGCGCGGATTTACAAAAAAAACGTGAGATATATTCAATTTTAGCAAAATTATTTTGTTATTGATCAAATAATGTACCGTAATAATAATAATAATGACTACAACAATAATAATAAAACATGCGTTTCATTTATAGAAGACGATTTTAGACGGACATTAATGGGTATAGAGCAAGAAAATGTAAATTTAAAAATTGAAGCAGCTTCATTAAAAGCTGCAAATATACAGCAAAAAAGAAAGATATCTGCATTCGAAGGACATGTCTGCAAATCAGAAAAGCAAATAGATGATCTTTTGCGTAAATTAAACAGTGCTAATGAAAGGATTCAAATTTTGGAACAAGAGGTGGGTTCAATACTCATTAGTATTATGTGCGCGTATTCGTGTGTTTGCTTGCAAGCTACATTAATTTAAATAATATATAATATAATATCGTGTGTGTGTGTGTGTGTGTGTGTGTGTGTGTGTGTATATGTATGTACATTTTCATATACGTGTATGTATATGCATATAGCTGAAAGATCGGGACTTGGCATTAAATCAACGTTTGATAGATAAGCAAAGAGTAAAGCAGAGATATAATACAAAGATGCAAGTCGAGACGGATAAGTTAAACAGAGAATTCGAAATGAGACTGCGTCAACAGCGTGAACATCTTCAGGTTAAATTTAAACAAATGTTACATATTTATAAAGATAAGAGTAATTGCTCTGATTTTATATACATATAATATACATATAATTATATACATATAATTATATACATATAATTTTCAATCTTTGACATTTTTTAATATTAAATATATTCTTATTATTTTTAGAATCAAGTGAAGAAGAAAGATGAACAGTTACGACGAGTACATCAAATTGTACTTGATAATGATATTAATTCAGCATCAAAAGACCAAGCTCCAGAATCGACAACGAGAGTAGTCAGTCCAGTTAGAGATACCAGAGTATCACGAAAGGTTACCTATTATGTGCAATTACTCTTTCCTCTTAAATGTCTTTCTTAACTTAATTTCGTATTTTTGTGTATAAAAGTTGGAGAAAAAAAAAACAATTTTCTTATATGTAGGACGGAATACCCGTTTCAAACCCGAGATATAGACGATCGCAAAGTGCCGACACATGGATCGATCATAGACCTCAACCTCTTGTACCAGTTGGAACTATATTGCAACCATTGATGCAAAGAAGACGAAGTGTAACGCAACTTACTTCACCAAAAGAGATTATGGATGGCGCATCTAGATATTGTCTTGTCGCACAAGAGCATGATACGGATGGAGAACTTGAAACAAAATTATATAAGGTTTGTAATTTGTATTTTATATATGTAAAAAAAATTACATATTTTTTATGTGTATAGAAAATATTAATGTAATCTTAATGAATATATAAGTTTTACTTCCTTTTTTCTATCAAACAGGGCGATATATTGCCAACAAGTGGTGGCGGAGCACAAGTAGTATTTAACGATATGGAATGTTTGAAACAATCATCCCCGAAAGCGAGGAAACGTACTGGACCTCAAGAAGAGGGAATGGACCAAGTAGATATTTCTACATTGACAGAAACGAAAAGACCACGAGTATAATAATACTTTTATAACATGTTGTAATTTATATCGAGAATGTAGGAGAAATGAATCCGAAACGTGATATATTTGATGTATATATATATATTTGTTTAATTCAAACCGCATTGCGGTTTAATCAAAGACTATAATCTTTATATCACAATTATTTTTATTATTTTTACAAGATCCGAGATAAATATCATTTGTATATCTAA